AATCATATGAATTGCCTTTCCATGTCCACTACAGCTTCTCACCAGTTTGTTCAGCTGCCTTCTGATTGTTGGCTTTTTCTCCTATCTTTTACCTTTTCCTTTTCATGTAGGCAATTTTCTTAGTTCATTGTTTTATTTTGTAATTAGCCTTTTTTTTGTGTTTGTTTTTTATTTACTTTTCTATGTTCTGTGAAAACCAAAGTATTATGAAATACTGAAAGAAAATGTGAAATATTTTTTGAAATGTAAATTTGTTTGGGTATTTCCAAGCATAAATAAAATTTGAAGGCCTTGTATTTCATTTGTAGACATGTATACTTGATATATTTTAATCTTTTATGATATTTGTAGTGTAAAAACTGAGAAGCGTACACCTTTTGCCTTTGCATGTGATATCTATTTATTTACTGAAAATTTTCTAAGGTCACTAGCAACGTATGCAAAATATAGCAATAGGGTGGGGCTTTGGTTAAGAAAGGTAAGAAAGTTTTTTTGTTCAGTAAAGCGATCTTTGTGGATGCAGTCTTATGGGGGTAAAGTATTGTGGTAAAAAGGGTAAATATGAGTCAACGATTTGGATAAGTGAACAGAAGGGGATGAAGAAGAGAAGGAAAAGGAAAGAGGGAGAAGAAAAGACAATACATTGGGCCTCAGTCTCTGCCTCCTAAGCCCCCCCCCCCCCTCCATGGCAACAACGAACAAGGGATTGGGGAGGGGGGGGGGGTATTTGATAATGAATGATAACAAGAAAACATACAAGTTGGATCCTTGTAAATTCTTGTTGCTGAATGTACGTGAATAATCAGTTTCATAAATTGTTCAAGTTTGCTTAGACAAATCCTGTCATGGTGATAATACAAGAAAATGGGTTTTAAAATAAATGACTGAAATATAACTTGATCTTAAAATAATTTCTAAAAAAATTCTTTGACAATCTTTCACTTTAAAGTTAGTCTGCTTTACCCATGTGCTTCTTCTGGCTCACTGATTTAAAATTGGTCCTGAAGTCATTTAATAGGGTGCAATTACATAGAGAGCCTGTAATAAATCACATTCTGTAGTCTGTGGTGCTGAATAATGCATTTACTTATTCAGATATGAGTACTGTGTAAGAGATATTTTCTCATGTCATCCTTCTCACTTGCTTGGAAAAGAGCCAAGATGAAAAAAAATCATAATAAATCATAATAATAATAATAATAATAATAATAGTAAGTGGCTTGGTAATTCCCTCTTTCATTTTATCTATTCACTCATCCTTTCATTCTTTCTCTTGTTTCTGGATTCATTTTTTTTATTGTGCATTTATTCCTTTTATCAGTTTTGTCATCACTTCCCCATTCCTCATTCATTCATTCATAATTTTTATACTACTTCATTCATTCATTCATTTGATCAGCCATTCATTACTTCTCATTTATTTCCTCCTTTCTTTGTATTTTCACTTCTTCCATTACATATTCATTTTCGAGTTTTTTTTTTAATTTGTCCATCCATTGCTGATTACATCATTCACTCATTCATCTGCTGCTATTTCCTTAATGTATTCATTTGTTCACACCTTTATGCATCCATTCATAAAATTTCACTCTTATTTTCTTCCTAAATGAACTATTCCCTAATCTTTAATTAATCTATTCCTTCCCTCATACTCACTAATTCACTTCCTCAATTATATATTCACTTATTCAAATATTCATTCCCTCTTTCACACACTACTGCTTCCACTCACTCACTCATTCATAAAAGATCATGCAATTAACAATTGACTATATTATACTGCCCTCAAGTTGAATGAGTATCATATCATATAAGAGCAACAAAGAATATTTAAAAATAAAAATAACAATCCTTTCTAAACAATATTCTTCTAACTTCTGCTGAGCCTTATTTTATCATAAATACTATTATTCTGTAACATAGAGGGCATGTATAATAATATTATTAATAGTCATTTCAACTAATCAAAGATATATCTTTATCCACTTTCTCATCACCCTGTTGGGAAAATAATTATTTCATTATTATTATTACAGCACAGTTTCTCCTAAGTATCTTGATTTTCCTATACTTTTTGGTGTTTTTGTGTATTTTTTCAAGGTACCAATAGGACTAAGCATAATATTCCTGCATTTCTTTCTGATTAGTACAAACCTCCATGAATGTGCAGTTAATGTAGCTAAACTCCTTCACATTCTGGTGACATAAAGCATTGTCGAGCAGTTCTCATTTGCTCTGATTTGGATGACACTGCAATACATCACCCTTTGAAGAATAACTCTTTTCATCCTTCAAATCTTTCCCACACATATGACACAATAATGTATCTTCAAAGTAGATTAAAAAATTAATATCTTACCATATGCAATAGTCTTAAATAACCACTCATTAAGCAAGCATAAGAAGTACACTGAACTGGCAAACAGCCAAAACCACAACGGAATAAAATTTCAATCATTATTGAGTATTTTTCTTCTTTTTACTGAACAACTAAGTAAGATCTATAGTAAAGTATGTATATGGATACTGAATTTTTTTGTATTCTTTATTAAGAACATGCCACATTTTCATCCACACTAAATAAATCTTCATGTAATAAAAGTAGTGGTATCATCAATCATTCAAGCATAAAAAAATGCTCCAGATTATGTCACATTCAAAATAAAAATTCCAACAAACTAAAGGTAATTAAAACCATAAAAGGATAATTAGAACCTGATATTAATAACTAATTACCACATTAAAACATGAAATAAATTAATGCCAACACTTCCTTTTGACTTTTGGTGGTATATCAGCTTTGTCATATATCATAAAAAAAAATGCATCAAGACTCCTTTTTCCAAATCCCATTTTCTAGCAATGTATTCTTGTTTTAAACGCTTTGAAATTTGAAGTCATGCTTTAGTGATCTGACATGGCTCTAAACTAACTGACCAAAGAAGCAAGCATGATTTCAAAAGATAGCAAAAATTATAATACTTGTGGTAAGGTGTATATTATGAAATAGCCATTCCCTTTTTTTCTTCTTTTTTCTCTTTTTTTTTTATTTTTTATATGTTTTAATTTTTTTTTTTTTTTTTTTTTTTTTTTTAACATATTTTAGAGCTAGACCACTGGCTGTGAATAAATTTGAATATATATTGTCTCATGTCAAAGAAACATTGAGCAACAATATATTAAGTACAAAAACAAACAAAGGTATTCTTTCATTCATTCCTCCACTATCATTTGCAGTACAGTACCGTATAAGAATAGTCATCTCGTAAACCACATTGAGTAATGCATTCAAAATTCTTTTCCAACAGCCGAGACAGACACCTTACCTGCAACTGCTCTCTGTTGCAAGTAAGCCCTCAGTCCGTGGCTCTACCATCATACAAAATCAAATTGACCTAATATGCTTTTCACTCAAATGCACATAAGCTCATCACACCTCATATCAAGCAATGGCAGAAATCACTGCTCTGCTGTGTAAAAAAAAAGAAAACGCATAACACAGATACATCGGAAAAATCAACAGCTCGTCTCGAAGCTTTAGAGTCAGCTTTCGACATGCTTTATGTTTTTAATCTGGCGCAATAACTTTATGGTTCGGATTCGTCCCTACTCTTCCAAGCTCCGGGCAAAATATATTAATACTTTTCTTAATTGCTTACTGGGGATGAAGGACATAAAGAGTATGGGAATAAGAAGCTGATGAGGGGGGGGAAGGGAGAGAGGGAGAGAGGAAGAGAGGGAGAGGAAGAGAGGGAGAGGAGGAGAGGAGGAGGGAAGGAGGGAGGGAGGGAGGGAGGGAGGGAGGGAGGGAGGGAGGGAGGGAAGGAGAGAGGGAGGGAGGGAGGGAGGGAAGGAGGGAGGGAGGGAAAGAGGGAGGGAGGGAGGGAGGGAGGGAAGCAGGGAAAAAGGGAGAGAGGGGGGGAGGGAAGGAAGGAAGGAAGGAAGGAAGGAAGGAAGGAAGGAAGGAAGGAAGGAAGGAAGGAAGGAAGGAAGGAAGGAAGGAAGGAAGGAAGGAAGGAAGGAAGGACTGGGACAGAAGGAAGGGGGAAGAGGGAAGAGGAAACAGGAAACAGGAAACAGGAAATGGGAAGAGGAAAGAGGAAAAGGGAAGAGGGAAGAGGGGAGAGGGCAGAAAGGAAGAGGGAAAAGTAGGAAAAAAATGAGGAAAAGAGGTGAGGGTGGATGAATGAAGAGTAACTTGTGGAATATGTGAAAAAGAATGATATGAAAATAAAATAACAGAACAAATATTATAAATGGTAAAACAAAATGAAAGAAAAATTGGAATTTGTCAACTACTTAAAATATAAATAAATAAATAGCTAGTATGACATGTATTGTGATGGAATCACTGTACAAATAAAATATATAAGTTACCCTGAAAGATTTGTGAACATTTTACAAGAATATTATACTTTTTACTCATAAATAAAACTATAATCCACTTACATTATTCCTAAACTTGTATTCATCAAAAAGGAATGACTGAATAAATGAATCAATTTAAAATACATTATAACAAAAAAAAAAGTCCCACAAATAGACAAAAACTCACAAGCTTATTCACAAATCCCTAAAACATAAATAACATATCTTTCCCCATGAACATGCATGTGATTGTCAGCTTGCAATGATAGTTTATAAATAGCATTTGCACAAGAAGGAATTCTTGCCTCTGAGACAGTTTAGTCGAAGCAGAATAAAAGCGCCACCACCACATTCGATTCCGCAAGCCATTCTCACACCCTAAGAGACCCTGGCAAATATTGTGCGAAGTTAAGACTTTTTTTCTCTCATAAATTTCCCACTAAATACAATGCAGTATTTAGTCACCTCCCTCTCCCCTCTCTTCTTTTGAATTAGAATATCATAATCCTTAATCTAACATTTTCTTCTTTGCCTTACAGAATGGAACATATCTTCCACTATAATATTTTTCCTTCTTTTTCTTTTAAATATCCCATAGCCTCTCACACGTCCTCTGGCCAGACACCCACTGGCTAAGTGTGTTTGACCCTGGCTAAAGCAACATAGCTCTTCTTGGTCGTGTTGTCGTGCCAGCCAACTGGTCCTCTCTCACAGTCCGCGCACACGAGGTATTTCGTGCTGCCAACCGTGTGGGAGAAGCCAATATTGTCGAAGGTGAACATGTCATCCACAACCCACCATTCACCAAGCTGTGGAGCAGTGCAAAAATCAGTATATTTCATTAAGAAAAGGGAGAAGTGTGTGTGTGTGTGTGTGTGTGTGTGTGTGTGTGTGTGTGTGTGTGTGTGTGTGTGTGTGTGTGTGTGTGTGTGTGTGTGTGTGTGTGTGTGTGTGTGTGTGTGTGTGTGTTAAAGATTTTTTTCTCTTAAACCTATTTCATAATCTCTTTGAAATAATCCCAATATTTATTCATAGTTCCCAACTAAAAAGCAATAGAAGACTTAATTTTGGAATATCTAAGGAAACTTCTACCTGAATGCCTAGTTTTCTTTATCTCAAATAGTAGACAAAAGTAAAATCCAAGGCTAAACAGGTACCTCAACAAAAGAGAGAAAAAGCTGAAACAAGCCACTCAGTGCTAAACAGTCCTATGCACCATCTTGGTCAAAAATGTATTACTGGAAAGCTCTCCCTCATCAACTATAGCTCTATCTTACTGTTAATTATGGAAATGCTTTTGTAATCTCTAACTAATCCCTATAAAACCTCAAGCTTTACTGGCTCTTTCTTTAAAAGAAGTAACTTTAGAAATAATTCTGCTCCTTTTCATTTAAATTTCAGTTTTTTGTTGCTTCATATAAATTTTATAGTTGGTGCACCTGCTATAGTATTATATTTTATCATATTAACCAATGTGGTGCCATTTATAATAACTTTAACATATTACCACACTAGTTTCATTCATAAAAAAAGTATCTTTCATACTACCTGATAATAAGAATGAGAAGATAAACACATAAATTATACACAATGACCAATAAAAAGTCTATAACAAAGAATAAAAGAAAGAAAGAAGCATATTCCAAAAAGCAACAATAAAGTGAAAGACAGAATTTCTAAAGTCAACTTCAAAAAAAAAAAATGGAAGAAGAAAACAAGCAAATGAAAAATATTTGTCTTAAAAAATTAAAAACATAAAAGTGTACATAAATAAATATTATATACAAGTGCTCACATCCTCTGTATTTGGCGATGGCTGATCTTTGGGCTGCGTGGGGGTTGGCAGAGCGTGAGACTGACTGAGGAAAGTGGCCGACTGGGGAGACAAAACCCGGGACTCGCAATGGACGCATTTCACCACACAGCTGTTCTGGCCTTCTCGCACCAAGCAGTTGGTGTCTGCCATGCTGAAAATGGAACTATAGGTGTGTTACCTGTGCTTTCATTTTTTACATTTTTTCCTTGTTTTTTTTTTTTTCTCACCCTCTCCCTCTTTCAATTTTCCTCTCTCTCTCTCTCTCTCTCTCTCTCTCTCTCTCTCTCTCTCTCTCTCTCTCTCTCTCTCTCTCTCTCTCTCTCTCTCTCTCTCTCTCTCTCTTTGCCTCTCCCTCATTCTCTCCCCATTCTTTCACTTTCTCCTTCTCTCCTTTGCCTCTTCCTTTTTCTCAACTTCTCCCTCTCCTCCTTCACCCCCCCACCCTCCTTCTTTAATTTGATTTACAATAATCTTAATGGAAACTTGTCATTAACTTTCTTTTCTAATTCAACAATTTTGAAATAAAATAACTTCCACTTTTTCAAGTTTTATTAGTCAGTACAATATTTTTTAAAATATGAATATTAATTCTTTCAAAATAATATGCAATCTGAACTATAATTTCATACAAAGTTTATCTTTAATTAACTTTGCAATCATAATGAAATGCTGAAAAAAAATACTTATATACTATATTTTAGAAAAATATCTGAACATTGAAAAAAAGTCTAAAAAATTAACATTGTCATCTAAATGTTCTTTTTATTTACATTACCATTTAAGCTATTAAATTTATAACTAGGACAATGACATATAACAAATATTCAGCCAGCTCCACTGAAAATAAATAAATATCATACAGTTTATAGTATCAATTGTCTCTATCATTTACAAAAGAAATCCTTTTCAGAGACTATACATGTCATGGATGATATTACAAAAATATAATTTTTTGTAATTACCTTTCAAGAAATAAATGTATTATTTTTACTAGGATTTCAATCACGATAATCTGCATTATTCTGCGATCTTCTGGGATCGCCTGTACCTCTACTCTCACTCTCATCCCTCCTCTGGTAAAACGGCTTTGCTCTTCTGCGCGGTTCTTCTTCTCTTCGAAACGGGACGCTGGTCCTTCTTTCCCTAGCGTCCCTGGGGCTGTCTCTGTTTCTTGTGTATCTCTCTGCAGGTCTGTTCCCTCTTGCAGCATATCCTCCTTTTGCATCTGCGGGATTTTGCTGTGGGTTGATAACAATGGGTTTCTTCCATGGTCTGTCCACGCAGCCAAATCTCAGTTGTCCTGCTTCCTTGCGTCC